ATCCAATGTATAATTAGTGACACCTTTTCTATCGATATCCATAATGTATCTAGTAGACTGAAAAAATGCATATGCATATACAGAATAAGCGATGATAAGTTCTCCTCAAGTGAAATTATCCGGAAGTAAAATACCTCTCCATTCGGATTTCCGGGCGAGAGGTGCTAGAGGGGGTTCACCATCGACTGAAAAAGTCCTCAAGATAGACCTATGTAACATCCGAGGTCTAAGTAAGAACATCAACGATGTCCATCGACACCTTCAAATTGAAAAGCCAGACATATTGGCTCTTACTGAGACACAGGTCAATTCATCCACCAATACGACCTATCTGCTCTATCCTGGGTACGAACTCCACACACGTTTCAGATTCAAGGGAGGTCTCTGCCTCTACTCTAAAACGAATCTCTCATGTCAACGAGAAAAAACTCTGGAACCAAATAAGTTTGATGTCATGTGGTTCAAACTCGATAGCCAGAAACAGACCAAATACCTTTGTTGTCTCTACTTGTCACCAAACGATCCATCCTACGAAGAGCTCTTCGAATTCTTGTCTCTGAAGCTTGACCAAATTCAACAGAACCATCCAGCAGCAGAAATCATCATCATGGGCGATTTCAATGTACACAACACTGCTTGGCTCGTACACTCTAACAGAACGGATGAAGCTGGGCGACAAGCCGAAGCTTTCGCCATCACTCACGGCTTAGAGCAGCTTATCAAAGAACCCACACGAATTCCCGATGCCAATAACCATTCAGCTAACATACTTGACTTATTTCTCACTAATAATTCAGCACCCTACACCATAGATGTACGAGCTCCACTTGGCAATTCTGACCACACACTCATCTCCACAACCTGCCCATTCTTCATTCCATCAACTGCTCCGGCACCCCCACGTCTTATATGGCATTACAATTCAGGAGATTGGGACGGTCTCCGCATGTTTTTCTCCGAGTTTCCTTGGCATAGAGTATGCTTCGACTCTTAGGACCCTTCACAGTGTGCTGCAGAAATATCCGAGATCATCATGCTCGGAATGGACACATATATACCTCATTCTTCGAAGAGATCATCATCATCGAAACCCTGGTTCAACAAAAACTGTTCTAGAACTGTTGCCTTGAAACAAACAGCCTACCATCGCTGGCGCAAAAACCCTAACCTCGCGACTAGAGCAGAATACGTTGATGCCAGAAATAACTGCAGCCAAACAATAGATGCTTCGAAAGAAACATACAATGCCAAGATAAGATCGAAACTCATAGATTGTCCCAATGGCTCCCGTTCGTTTCGGTCCCTTGCTAAAGCGGTCGGAAGAAATTTCACTAATAGTTCATTTCCACCACTGTCCAAATCCGACGGCACATTAGCAACAACATCGCAGGAGAAAGCAAATATCTTTGCAGAGATGTTCGCAGCAAACTCTACTTTAGATTCCCAAGGAAAAGTGCCGCCAGACATTCCACCGGTTGAGAGTCGAATGCCCGAAATCGTCTTCCGTCAACGCACTATCAGACGAATTTTGCTTGGTCTCAAAACGAATAAGGCTAACGGTCCTGATGGAATCCCACCCATTATCCTCAGAAAATGGGCACCAGAACTGACACCGATTCTCTGCAAGTTGTTTACCGTCTCGTACAGGTCGGGTATTTTTCCATCATGCTGGAAGACAGCTAGAGTCCAACCAATCCCCAAAAAAGGGAACAAGAACCTGCCCAACAACTACAGGCCCATTGCCTTGTTATCAGTGATCTCCAAAGTGATGGAGAAAGCCATCAACATTGAGCTCATCAAATATCTGGAGAGCTCAGGAATCATCGATGATAGACAATACGGCTATCGCCAGCGAAGATCTATTGGAGATCCACTTGCCTACGTCACCCATTTATGGCAAGCTTCATTAGAAAAACACGGGGAATCTTTAGCTGTCGCGTTGGACATATCGAAAGCATTTGACCGTGTTTGGCACAAAGGACTCCTCCACAAACTACCATCATACGGCTTGCCACCTCAGCTATGCCATCTCTTATCAAGTTTTCTTTCAGGTAGATCGCTTCATGTGGTGGTGGACGGTGTATCGTCTGATACCATTGGCATCAATTCCGGCGTTCCACAAGGATCAATTTTGGCACCAACATTATTCCTTCTGCATATCAATGATCTGTTGGGAGAAACAACTTGCCCCATCCACAGCTTCGCAGATGATAGTACCCTCCATACTGCGTTCTCATCCAGAATTCCCATCTCTTTCCAGGAAACTAAGAACTCACGGCGCAGGCAGGTCAATGCTGTCAATGAAGACCTTGCTGAAATCACAGCCTGGGGAACCAACAACCTAGTTGAATTCAACGCCACCAAAACTCAAGCCTGTATTTTCTCTAGAAAGGCGGAACTCAGTATGCCCGACATTGTAATGTCTGGCACCACCATCTCAACCAAGCCCACCATATCTATGCTCGGTATTTCCATCAGCAACACTCTTTCATGGGATAATCATGTCAGATCCATCGCAAAAGCTGCCTCACAAAAACTTGGATTCTTGTTCCGTGCGAAAAGCTACTTTACACCTCAACAGCTTCTCATGATCTACAAAGCTCAGATACGGCCTGTTCTAGAATACTGTTCCCACATATGGGGTTCAGCACCAAAACATACGCTGATGCTCTTAGATTCCATCCAGAGAAGAGCCATCCGCCTGGTGGGTGACGCCACACTCACTCAGTCTTTGACATCATTGGAACACCGTAGAAAGGTCGGCGACCTTTCACTTTTCTATCGATACTTCCACGGGAAATGTGCTTCGGAAATCTCTGCTATCATCCCTTCACTAGCAATACCAGTCAGACGAACTAGACAAGCCCAGTCAGCACATCCTTTCGTTGTCAACCTCGAAAGATGTCGAACAGCACTTTATCAAAACTCCTTCATCCATAGAACGGCTAGGCTCTGGAATTCATTGCCTGAGGAAGTATTCCCAACAACATATAATCTCCAGAAGTTCAAAAAAAATTCCAATACCTACCTCCTATCCTTATCCTCCCTAGGAACGCACGATGTTCTTTGAACATTATAGGGATTCCCTTTCTTGCGCTCCAAGCGATAAAAAAAAAAAATATGACATCGCCTAGACCAAATGACTGTTGTTTCCGGAATGTCATTGGTTGTCAAGTCATGGACAGCTGACAATCTGAAGGGTATCTCCCATACAGTAATGAATTTGCGCCTTCGAAGTGCCCACCTGATGTCAGGTGTATATATTTGATAATTTCATTTCATCATCTGAATAATCTGAGACCTATTTGTCCCAAAAGACGGATTCTGATAGTAAATATCCAAGATAGTGACGTATAGAGTTTCATGTCTGATTGTTAGATGTTTCGTGTTCAACGAGCAAAGAACTCTTGAGACCAAATTATGAGAAAATATATTCAAACACATAGGGGGAGAGTTCGATTCATATTGTTCAAAATGTATACATGAAGAGGTCAATTCATTCACATTGTTGTACAATTAGTGAACTGTAGTTGTCCAATTCATATCTAGTAGTTTCAGAATTTTAGTCTTATAGGTATACAATTCATCACAGTAGTTTCACAGTAGATGTACAGGATGGACATCCAATGGACATCCAAACTTGCGGCCTATGGATTTACAATGAATGTCAATTAGATAGAATCTGGACATTTTGAACCATCCAATATATATCCATGTCCATGTATGTCTATTCAATGGACATCCATCGGATAGTTTCACTAAACTGAGCAAAATGATTGGGAAATTCCACCTGCAACCCTACCTGTGTTACCCCTTAAGTTGGCTCAAATTCTCAGCACAACGATTTCTTTTACTTCCATGACGTGTTAAGGAGTTGAAACTTAATGCAAACACACGGGGATGATGCCCCTTCGCGAACATTCTAACTTGGCGCGATTCAACCAGATATAAGTTTATGGTGAAGCGCCAATATTTCCGAGAACATTTTGCCCCTGTCTGAAGATGAACAAGTTTATCGAACCGATGGTTCATCAGATATCTTCAAATATGAGCTAAATATTATCTGCCCCTATTCGCGAAGAGGGGATCATTTTCTTAAAACTCATTATCACGTGACGAAAGTCATTGCGAAATGACAGCAGCACAAAAATCTGCGCCAATGATTTGACCCAGATTGAGGGAATAGCATAATTTCGATTTCGCACAGGAAAGTGCCATTTTCTATTCATTCATCCTAGAATATAGGCTGTCAGAGGTGCTGTTTGATACAATAAATGCGTTTGTGACATGTCATATCGTTATCCGATGACGGTAGAAATTTGCAGATTGTTCTACTTCTATTGTCAAAATGTCGCGCAACTTGACAAATACATATCAATACCGAACCATATTACATTAGTATTGAAGACTTGCTTCATCATGAAAAGTCAGACGCAATAATGTACTATTATTGTAATAAAAATATACCCTCAGTCTGGCAACATCGCTGGACGCACTAATGTATATACAGGACGCAATAAAGATCGTTGAATGAACCCCAAATATATGGCTGGATGCAATAACATTCGTGAAATTGGATAACGCAATGAGGTACGCTGAATGAAAATAAATCGTATATCTTAAAAATAAAGATAGAGCAATTCTGAATAGAGGTAAATGCTGGAAATTATGTGAGGAGAGATATACTTCGACTAGTTTCTATCCAACTTCATTCTTTCTGGTGGACGCAATAAGTATGGATTATGAAAAGACGCAACAAAGATAGTAGGATGTATATATATATATATATATAATAATGTTAATAATTTGGCCATCAATTTGTAACGATTCAATATCTGTTATTTCATTATGTTTGGATTTATTTCTCAAGCAGTAATTTATTGTATCCCACTTTTTTTTTATTACCTTCTGATTTCTCAAATTTCCTATTGATATACATATTTATATTTGGGTTTGTAAAATTTTCGAAGCAATCAAATAGTATCTCACCTCTTTTCCAGGCATCGGAAGCATACCGGACGCCACCCTGGCCGCTTTGACCAATCACAAAGACCTCGGCGTCCATTCGGAGATGTTCGCCGGCGGCGTCATCGACCTGGTCGACAAGGGGTGCATCACCAACAGCCGCAAGACGATGCACCGGGGGCGGATCGTCGGGTCGTTCCTCATCGGCACGCAGCGGCTGTACGATTTCGTCGACAACAATCCGTTTATCGAGATGCTGGTCGTGGATTATGTGAATAACACCGGTGAGTAAAATGCAGTTTCGATTTACAAAATATTCCTGTTGCAGTTCAAAGGTTGAACAGTGACTTTTAACTCCTGAACAATGGGGAAGTTTCCAATATTGAGGTTTTTATCTCGCTGTAAAGTTTATGAGAATTTGATGAATTCGTATTTTTTTATTGCAAAGTACCATCTCAATTAAATCCTTAACAAATGAACAGCGGTTTATTGATGTTTATGTTAGGTATCATCGCGAGGCAACCGAAGATGACGGCCATCAATTCGTGCATCGAAGTCGACATCACAGGTCAAATCTCCTCGGATTCCATCGGCACCAGGATGTACTCCGGCTTCGGCGGACAGGTCGATTTCATTCGAGGCGCTGCCGAAGGCCTGGACGGCAAGGGGAAGCCCATCATCGCCCTACCGTCGACTACGAATAAGGGAGAGAGCAAGATTTCCATCACACTCAAACCAGGTATTTTTTTATTCTGTTGTCATTTTTAGTTCTGAGATGTTTATAATTGCCTATGGTGGGCCGACTCTTCAATTGTTTGGTCAGACTAACTCTCGATATGAACAATTAAATGGGAGTTCTGCAGGTGGGGTCCTCATATTCCATGATATATGGGAGCCATGGAAAATTTAATAATGCGTTTCAAACCTTATGAAGTTGAACTAGACTGTCAAGGATGGGTTTCTCTCATTTCAGAACCTGAAGAATCCCGTTAATGATTCTAAGATTTTCAGGTGATTTATTGTGACCACTAAGGACATGGAAATAGGAATTCTTCAAAGAATTTAGCCTATCTTCAACTCTTATGGCAACCAAGGTTGGCAAACAAATGAAAAATTATGATTTGATGACATCTTGAATCAACGAGGGTTTAATGTTGGATGCCTTGGAGAAGGGCGAACAAGTTGACGCAATTTACACGGACGACTCCAAGGCATTCGACAGAGTTGACCACAAAAAATGTAATAAGAGAAATTTCGTTCTTTTGGTTTTGCGGATAATATCGTGAAATGGCTACGTAGTTTCCTCAGTGGCCGCTCTCAAAGAGTTCAGAAATCAATAACTATATATCTAACGATATTCTGGTCACATCAGGTGTCCCTCAGTGCTCTCACTGTGGACCCTTACTATTAAATCTTTTTAAAAATGACATTTCCGATGTATTCAAAAGTGCAAGCTTCTTAGTTTTTGCTGATGACTTGAAAATGTTTACATCATTAGAGATGTCCTAAAGAGTCAAATTCTTCGAAACGACCTTGACAAACACTATCTGTGGTGCGTCCGTAACAATCTCGACCTAAATTCCGATAAATGTCTCACAATATCGTTTTCCCGTTGTCATAATCGGGTCGATTCTGTTTGCAAATAGCAATATGGTTGTGGAGAAGATATTGCTATCATAGCAAGATTCGAAAAAGTTGAATTCTAATCATCGATTTTTGGCAATATGATCTGTCAATTTCAATGACATCTGGTCAGCTTTCTTGCTACCTCGGCAACATGAATTTTGTGCTTGCTATCGTATAACAAGGTAGTGGATTCTTTGTTTTTGCACTACAAATTCTTCCAACTGTATGAAAATTCAGAAAATAGTGGATTAAAAACATATGAATGTTCAGTTTTGTCACTGACTACTTACTCGAAAACCATTCCTCAAAGTTTCAATTCGTAGAAGAATTATTTATCAAGCTATTTTGCTAGAATATTAAAAAAAATCACGATTTGTTTCATCCGGCTTTTAGTTGTTTTCTCATTTCGGGGACATGATTGATTACTTGCACCAGTCGCACAACGACGACCAGATAATTTTGGAAAATGTCAGTGCAGGACTGACTAATTTGAGAGGTTAGATAATCATGAACTGTTCTTCTTCATGAAATTATGGCAAAATCGATACCTAACACTTAAACAATGAGTTGAAAACAGTGTTGTCAGCTCAAAAATTCTCAATTTCTCAACAATATTGCTATCACTTGAACTTATAACCAGTCTTGCAGTTACCCTGCAAACAGTATACAGAACCTCATAGCAATATTGTTATAATATGTTATGATCATTACAATATTATTGTTATAACAAGATCCGAACAGAATCGACCCGATTGTTGCCTTATATAATTACGATATTAACAATATATTCCTGAAAAAAGTAAACGAGATAATCATCTTTGATGAACGTCTCACCTTCAAGAGCCATATACTGAAAGTATCAGCATCCCCCAATAGAATGGTAGGTTCTCTATCACGTAATACAACAAATTTTTCATGCAACACACCGTTAATTTTGTACTGGTCCCTTGTACGCTCCTTATTGGACCATGGCTGTATGATTTGGTCACCATACTATGAGATATCATACTTATTGAACAAGCCCAAGTCAGATTCGCCAAACACATATTCTACAAAATGGGAACTTACCATCATTTCAACTATTCGGATACTCTTGATACCCTCAACCTTCATTTTGAATTCAGTTATATTACTACCATTATTTCTTATTGAATGAATCTAATCAATGGAATCAATTGAATATCCCCCAGATATAATGCATTACACCTTCACAGATATAGAAGTATTGAATAATGATTTTCAATGGACAATAAACTCAGTTCGTAGGAGCAGGTGAAGTTAATCATCTCCATAAAAAATCTGGCGCCCGAGATATCCGCAACAAGTACCAGTTATCTGCCCGAAAAGCGCCAAAGTGAGGCCCCCTGGACGACAGCTCTTTCGTACCCCCTTACATAATGTAATATTGTTATAACTACAAAATGAGCAGTATGTTCCTTTGGTGTTACGCCGCTGTTAGAAAAATGACATCCCATCTCTTATTAAAACATATTTGTATCTCATGTTTTTTGTTCAGCTGTTCAATAACATGACTAGTCTGTCCTCACTCTTTGAAGGAGAAAAATGACATTCCATCTCTTATTAAAACATATTTGTATCTCATGTTTTTTGTTCAGCTGTTTAATAACATGACAAGTCTGTCCTCACTCTTTGAAGGGCGTGAATTGAGATGTTCGAGGCACTCTAGTTCAGCTTAGAGACAGTCCACGAAATGATGTTAGTACGTAGTGTGTCCAGTTTTCGATGCTTTTGCGTGATATCTCAGTTATCTCTCGAGATAGAACCTTGCGGCTTTCGCTGTCCTGTGCCCCTTTATTTTGAAACTCAAGATAGCCTAATCAGATTTTGCATAACTGTTTCCGTTTATGAGATACAGGGCGATTCTGAAAATTTATACTTCTTGGACCCCCTCCATATCTACGAAGTTTCTCAGCAAAAATGTCAAATTAAAATCTCATCCCATAGAGAATTTTTTCGCAGAATCCAGTGGCGCACTCAACATTTTTTGTCGGGGTATGGTTTTGGAGATACGACTCGACCCTATGATTTTTTGAATGGAACACCCTGTATTTTATAAGTCCATAAAATTCCTCATTTTCTTCTCTTCAAAATGATATATTATGTATGAATATAATATTCTCAAAAATGCTTTAAAATCACTAAAACATTGAATTTTAATAGTGGGCTATGGATTTTTCTTATAAACAAGTTCCAATTGAAGGAATATTTATTTTGATTTTTCCATGAAGAGGACAATAACAATACCAACACTAATTAACTAAGAAAACACAAAAATTAGGTACCCGATAGCAACAAATAAATAGTAATGAAAAGTTCGTAATGTAGAATAAGCACCAGATTAAATATTTACAAAAACAATTGAATTTCTGAATAATTCAATAACTTATTCATTGAATTTCGCGAATTGATGTCCATTTTCCATTACACACAATTGACACAGTTTCTCAATACGTCTTGATACAGTAAGAGGCACAAGAATCTTGAAGAACTCCGTGCAACAACAAAGGTAGTTTTCCAGGAATTACAAAGACATCCTTTAATGATTTTGAATGCATGTAAGGAAGTCTGTGAGGGATAATGGACATCGATTTGAACAATTCAATGAATAAGTTACTGATTAATTTCGAAATTCAATTGTCTCAGTGAATATTTAATCAGGTGCTTATTCTAGATTATGAACTTTTTATTACTATTTATTTGTTGCTATCAGGTACGTTTTCTTAGTTAACTAGTGTTGGGATTGTTTTTGTCCTTCTCAAGGAAAAATCAAATGGAATATTCCCCCAATTGGAACTTTTTTTAAATGAAAAATCCATAGCCCACTATTTAAATTCAATGTTTTAGTGATTTTGGAGCATTCTTGAAAATTTTATATTTATTAATCATATTCCATTTTGATGGAAAAAAATAAGGAATTTGATGAGCTCATAAAATACAGGGTGTTCCATTTGATAAATCATAAGTTTGAGTCGTATCTCCAAAAACATACCCCGAAAAAAAATTTGAGTGCGCTACTGGATTCTGCGCAAAATTCTCTATGGGATAAGATTTCAATTTGACATTTTTGCTGAGAATTTTCGAAGATATGAGGGGGTCCAAAAAGTATAAATTTTCAAAATCGTCCTGTATCTCATAAACGCAAACAGTTATGCAAAATCTGATTAGGTCATCTTGAGTTTCACAAAAAAGGACGCCGGCTGTATCTCGGAAACTATTTGCCGCACAGGTTTCGGAAAAAAATATTCATGATAAAAGTGGCCTAGAAAAATCTCTGGGAAATTATTTTCCAGTTTCCAGGACAGCCGCTAGAGGGCATAATTGCATTGGCCAACTTAAAAAACGGGTTTTTATGAAAATTTTATATATCGAGATATATCAGAAACACTTTTTCCATGTTCTCGAGTAGATTTCCAATAATTTCGATCAAAAAAAATTGCGCTAGCTCTTTAAATAAAAGAGGGAGGGAAGGATCAATAGTACTCTGGAAAAAGTCTTACTACAGTTTGGTTGTAACGGAATTGAGCGATCTTGGTCTCATTATGAAGGATTTCTTCAGATCTTCCCGATAAATCACGAATCAAGTTGATTTAAATCCAGTGGTGGCCGCTAGATGGCATCGTTTGAAAAATCAGCCGATTTGCAATTTTTTTCGAGAATTTCAAATGAAACTATATATTTTTCCTGCTATGATATGAAAGTGAAGTGAAGGAGAAGAAAAATGTTGAAAACCGCGAGTTGATACCTCTTGAAGAACCGGAGAAATACTCGGAATAATATTAAAATTTAAACTGTTAGCATGTCAAATGCCTCCTCATTCGTTATCGGCATTTTGACAAATAAGCAATCCACAGTGAAAACTTTCAATGGAACTTCAGTTATATTTTGACATTTCTTTCAATCAAAGCCAACTTGCCTTTTCTCATTCCTGAGCCTATACTCACTACTTACATTTCAATTATTAGCTATGTCATTACTAAGAGTCTCCTTCACTATTGTGAGATATAACAGCAGTTTGTGAAACCAAAATAAATGAATTATTGAAATCGTAATTCCATAGATACAGTATATTTCTGATGACGATTATTGAAGTTAGATTCCTGTGGTGAATATTTTCATAATATTATTTCGAGTATTTCACCGGTTCCTCAAGAGGCATCAATTCGCGGTTTTCACCATTTTTCTTCTTGATTGCTCTACTTTCATATTAAAGTAGAATGAATATATGGTTCCATTCGAAATTTTCGAAAAAAATGGAAAATTGTCTGATTTTTCAAACGATGCCATCTAGCGGCCATCACAGGATTTAAATCGACTTGATTCTTGATTCACCTGGAAGAACAAAAAAAAAACCCTTCATAATGAGACCAAGAAAGTTGAATTCCGTTACAGAGTTTTTTCAAAGTACTATTCATCTTTCCCTTCCTCTTTCATTTGAAGAGCTAGCGCATTTTTTTTTATCGAAATGATTGGAAATCGACTCGAGAACATGAAAAAAGTGTTTTTGATATGTCTTGATATATCAAATTTTCATAAAATCCCGTTTATTAAACTGGCCAATGCAATTACGCCCTCTAGGGGCTGTCCTGGAAACTTGAAAATAATTTCTAGAGATTTCTCTTGGCCACTTTCATCATTCATAATTTTTTTCTAAACCTGTGCGGCAAATAGTTTCCGAGATACAGCCGGCGTCCTTTCTTAGTAGTATACCCGGTACATTGAAACTTACCACCCATGTTTCAGGTGCCGGCGTGGTGACTACCAGGGCCCACGCGCACTACGTGGTAACGGAGCACGGCATCGCCTACTTGTTCGGCAAATCCCTCAGGCAGAGGGCGCATGCGCTGATCAACATCGCGCATCCGGACCACAGGGAGGCGCTGGAGAAGGGCGCGTTCGAACGGCTGAAAGTTATGCCGTCCGCTTAGACATAAGTACAAACTTTTTAACTAACTATACGCATATTCCATGTATATTATTTTATACAAAGCTGTATTATAGAATTTTCAGTAAATTGTCATTGGCTTGGGAAGGCTGGTTTGAAGCGCTTATTGGTCTTCTACCTGGGTCAACTGTATTTTTAAACTACTGTCAGTTTGTATCGCAAAAAATGCATTTCTGTCTAACTAGATAACGATACGACTGATGAAATTTCATATTTTGAACGGGAGTTGAATAAACCTGCTGTCGCCATAATATATTTTTTTCTACCACTAGCTATAAAACCTACCATTATTTACTCCTTATAGAGGCATAAAGTGTGTTTTTTCTACCAAGGTAATTTTCGTCATCTTATGAACCACTGGTCGATAAAGACCCACATCTGTAGTCAGTGGCGTAGCGAGAGGTGTCGGGACCCCGGTGCAACGAGGGTTGATGGGGCCCTAATTCACTGAGAAAATTTTCCAACCCTAGAGTAAGTATAGGGAATATACACTCACCGGCAAAAAAATCCGGCTAACATAAAATTTCGCCTGTAACTTTTTTAATTCTTGTCCGATTTTGGTGAAATTTGGACCATACCGTATATTCATGTTTCGGAATATTTTCTTGAATATTAGGTCCCGAGGAAAACTGATGGTTTGATCATTATACAGGGACAAACAAAAGTTACTCTTTTAACCTTAACTTCCTATTGCCCTGTGGAAAAAGTGAGTGGTTAAACTTGGCTTCATTATGTTTAGGATCGAAGTGTGATTCTTTCTCAACACAATTGTTCTTGATCCACGTCGATAACCACTTTTTAACAGAAGATTAAAGTGTTTTAAGAAAGTATCGATGTTGAAGCCCTCCAAGGTATTTATTATGAGGTTCAACAAGTTTTTACCATAAAAAATGAAATTAAATCTTTATTTTGACAAATTCAAAAATTATTTATTTTCTGTCAAAACAATCCATCCAAAATTCAATTATTTCATGGCATCATATATGAAAAGAAAAATCTTGATGCAAGTGTCCTTAACAATCGATTTCTTCCATTTTTATTAGCAATTATTCAGAACCATTCTTCAACCTTCTGCTTCATCATGTTTTGAATTGAAGTTTGATCCTTTTTAGGTGAGTGCTATAAAAATTAGGTAGAAATTAGTAATATTGATTCCTCAAGTTGTCAATCAATGAGTTGATGTAGGATCTGATTATTGTTAAAAATAATTGAAAAATGCCATAATTTCTCAAAACACTCGTATATTCTCTTAAAAACGAGTTATTGACGTGAATAAAAAACCATTGTGTTGGGAAGGGATCAAACTTCAATCCAGAGCATAATGAAGCCAAGTTCAATAACTCAATTTTGCCACATGGCGTTAAGAAGTAAAGGGTGAAATAGTAACTTTGGTACTTCCCTGTATAATGATCAAGTCATCAGTTTTTCACAGAAACTAATATTAAGACTAACATTCCGGAACATGAATCTACGATTTGATCGAAATTTCACAAAAATCTGACAAGGATTAAAAAAGTTACAGGGTGAACAATTTGGGCAACAGTTTTGGTGGCCGGTTTTTTTGCCGGTGAGTGTATATTATTGAAAATATTCATAAAATGAGAACAAAACACAATCCGGTTATGACTGGGCCCCAATGCCCTGGGGCCCCGGTGCACCGCATCGAACTGCCCTACGATAGCTACGCCACTGTCTGTAGTAATTAATCCGAATGCACTGTTCTGATCAGAGATTCGCAGAAATGGCACTGGAATCTAGTAGATATTTATCAATAACAACTTGTCATATGTCATGGTCATGGCTTATTATTGAAAATAGTGCTTTTATAGTGGCAATAGGTCCATATTTCGGTTTCACAGAACTAAAATGATTGAAATATATTGCTGGTGGTGAAAAAAATCAATATAAACCCTAGTAGTAAAGGACCTTATATCCCGATTCAGCCTCGGGATATAATCTTAGTCTCTGGGTAATAATGATATTCTTGACTACCTTGGTGAATAAATAACTATCATTTTGCAGACGCAGGGTATAACATGAAGTTATAGTCATGTTGTAGCCATCTAGTGGCAATAAAGCTCTAAGGTAGGATACAGAAATCGCGACACACACTGTATGGCGCTGTCATCTATAGTCACACGTACAGACCCCTACGTCTATACGTTACAGAGTGGTACTACAAGTAAACCACTCTGCTGACAGATGGCACTACCTGACATACTTGAGTGGAATTTTTCCACCACCTATTCAACTGCTAGATCTCATAACTAAGAGATCTAGGATGAACAGAGTTGCCCCAATTGTCAGCAGGAGCGAAACAGTAATTCCACTCAAGTATGTCAGGTAGTGCCATTTGTCAGCAGAGTGGTTTACTTGTAGTACCACTCTGTAACGTATAGACGTAGGGGTCTGTACGTGTGACTATAGATGACAGCGCCATACAGTGTGTGTCGCGATTTCTGTATCCTACCTTAGAGCTTTATTGCCACTAGATGGCTACAACATGACTATAACTTCATGTTATACCCTGCGTCTTCGAAATGAGTGATATACCCGAAGCGTAGAGTTGTCCCAGTTGTCAGCAGACCGAGAGCGGCTGATGAGACCTGGTAGGTCGAAACAGTACTGTCTCGCTCCTGCTGACAATTGGGGCAACTCTGTTCATCCTAGATCTCTTAGTTATGAGATCTAGCAGTCATCATTTTGCACTCTGGAAATGATAACAAAATCTTTACTATCTGAATAATAAGAAGGTAAGTTCTTGATATAAGCGCAACAAAATTCATTCAGCACCTTCACCTGATAAAATAATTAATAACTAATGATTTTCAAGTTCTATCCAACCTGTCCAATAGCTATGTTATTGAGCTCATAGGTTCCTCCGTAAAAATCGATCCTCTTAAGTGGTAAAAGTGCAATTATTAATGTGAAATTTATATCAATCTCTTCAGAAATTGAAGGCCGACTGAGTGAGTACAAAGTCATCCAAATTAGTAATATTAGAAATTGGAAATTGCGAATTAATGCACAAATCGATCAAACGACATATTCTTGAAAAACCAACACTGTTTTTGCTGCAAAAAGTTGATGCTGATAGCCGGCATAAATAAATACGAGAATAGTCTGGGTGCTGAGAGTTGAAATATGAGCCAGATCACAAACCAGGAATTACTATCTAAATTGGAAGGACTCATAAATAAAAATTCAGCGGAAATAAAAACAGAAATAAAATCAATTAATGATACATTGAATGAGAAATTAAGTGAGCTTGAAGAAAAATATAAAAAGATTGAGCAAAGAGTTACTTCTTTAGAACGAGCAAAGGGAAGGAATAACATCGTAATCTTTGGAATTCAATCTGATCGAGATAACATCTTAAAAAATACCCTCTCACAACTCAATAACATTTTTGAATCAAATCTCGTGGCAAGAGATATAAACAATATCTATACCATCGGAAAGAAAAATACCATAATAATAGAATTCATCTCATATCTTCAAAAAAAGGACATTTTCCAACACTTATATAAATTAAAAGGAACCGGCGTCTCCGTTACAAACGATCTATGTCCAGAAGATCAACAAACGAATAAAATCCTTGTAAAACATTTGAAAGAAGCTAGAGCCCAAAACCAAAAAGCACACATCAAAAATTTCAAGTTGTATGTGAATGACGTACCATACACAATCAAGGAGTTAGAGAACCCAACTGAAGTTGTTCCCGACCCAGAACTCGAACATTCTGAAGAACCAGAAGAAGTATTCTCAGAAAATAAATCAGATACTGCCAGGGAATTTGAAGCTAGAGCGGAAGCAGATACACGATCAGACATTCCCAAAAACCATTTCTTTCCACAAAAGACGCCCAACACAAAAACAACAATCGAGAATACCACCAAGCCTGTGAATACTTTCACGAAGAACAAGGAAACTAAGGAAATCAGAACATTAAGAAACAAAAAATCAACTACATGAACCTGCTAACAGTAAAATCACGTCAATTCAATTCAGTTCAGTTTTATACTTTCGTTTCTTCTCATCTTAGCATATTATTGAATTGATGTTTAGTTTATTTCACTCTTTGTATTATATTAAGGTATCAACACTATAAAGTCAAAATGGACCCATTCATAAAAGAGTATAAGAACGAACCAATAGTAGCAAAAGTAATCTCAGATGTTAAAGATTTTATACCAGATAAACAAAATCCATTTAGTATAATACATTTTAATATCAGAAGTATCACAAAAAACATGGATGAGATGATAATATTCTTGAACAGACTTTCTCTTGAATTTCAAATCATTGTACTATCTGAAACATATCTTGTCTATGATTTGAATATAGTAGAAATTGACGGCTACACCACAATATATAACAAAGGTACACTGAACAAAAATGATGGTGTAATAGTGTATATTAAAAACAGCATTAGTTTCACATATAGCGTAATAAACATTGGTGACATTAAGGCTCTTGAAATTACAACAAAATCAAAATATGCAAATGCCATGATAACTGCCATCTACAGACCCCCAAGTACTTGTCCAAAAAGGTTCAATATAGATCTATTGGACTATATACAGTCTATTGAAAAAAGTGACTGGCATATAATAACGGGAGATATCAATATAGACTTATTTTCAGATTCAGAGTTTGTCGAAGAATACAAAAATTCCTTGAATAGTTTTGGGTATGAGTCATACATCAATAGTTACACCCGACCACAGAGTCAAACATGTATTGACCACTTCTTTGTTAAAACTGTATCCAATAGAAATACCCAATCATTTGTTTTCCAATTCAATATAACAGACCATTACCCTATAGCATTAACAATAGATCTAAACCAAAGTTCACATAATAATATTCCAAATGGAAATAAATACAAGCAATATATAAACTTCTCATCATTAAAAACCGATTTGGAAAACGAGACATGGGTCGACCTATACTCGGTACGGGATATAGACAAAATGACTGATAAATTCATTCAAAAACTCAACTCATATATTGAAAGAAATACAAAAAATGTCAAGCTAAAAAAACAAAATATAAAACGAAGAAAATGGATAACCTCTGCAC